CCTAAAAAAATTTCAAAAAAAAAAAAAATTAAAATCCGGCCCGGACCAGGCCCGAACCGGCCGGGCCGGTTCACCAAAACCTGGGCCCGGGCCCGAACCGCCCAGCAGCCGGGCCGGGCCGGGCCGAACCGAACCGAGGGACCCACCGGGCCCCGGGCCGGGCCGGGCCGGGCCAAACAGTAACCGGGCCGGGCCGCCCGGCCCGAGTCCAGCACTAACTTAATTGAGTGAGTAGGATTTGTGAAAACATTATTAATGTGACAAAAAATATTTTATATAAGGAAGTATTTGGGAATTTGTAGAATTATATATTATTGTGTTTTATGATGTTATTTATTCAATTGAACTTTCTTATATCTATCCATTAATGACAAATATATGCCTATTGAAGGTAGTGGATAAAAAATTCAATTTTCAATTCAGCCATTTTTCAAATTCAAAAGCACAAATCTAACTATTTAGAGTTATATGAGTTTTGATCATCTTTTTTAATTTACTTTATCAAGTTCGATTTCCATGGAAGAGTTTTTTTTTTTTTTTTTTTTTTTTTTTTTTTTTTTTTTTTTTTTTTTTTTTACTCCAGGGGGGTCTGGGGGAGGGGGTCTGGGGGGAGCCTGGAGTAATCAGGGCTGAAACACACTCCATTGAGTTTCACACCCTTGTGTGCCTAGCGGGATTCGAACTCGAGACCTCTCACTAAGCACGGTAACCTCACAACCAGCTGGGATTCCATGGAAGAGTTTTTATATACGGACAAATTCATCAATTACTCGATTAGATATTGTTGGGTTAAGGGACCAAGCCGAGGTCCGGCCCACTAACCCTTCCTTCACCAGACGTACGTCCAGTCAGACCACAAGGCCAGCCCGCAGGCCCATATCCCTTGGGGAGGGACGAACGTCTGAGGTCGGGAGTTCAGGCCCAGCGGCCCATCCGAGGAGCAGGACCACGGGCTACCAGGGGATGACGACGAACGTCTATGCAGGGACAAGGAGCAGGACCACGGGCTACCAGGGGATGACGACGAACGTCCCCATGGCAAGCATATAGTCATCCGAGGAAATCCAGTCCGCATGGAGAGAATCCACAAGGCCAGGAGACGAACAACCGAAACCTCTTGGGGATCACTTGGAGCGATCCAGCTCGCTTCCCAGGCGGACGAACGTCCCCATTATTTAGGCGGGAAACCTAGATCCTGGCGGGAAGTGCATTTAATGCTGAAGATTTGGTGGTTGGGACACGAGCGGTCCACAGGCCTCCACGTCAGCATAGCCACCTGCCCATTGGCGGGTATAAATAGAAGCATTTATTTCATTGTAAATGGTTGGCAACTTTCTATTCTTAGCACTCTAGCTATAGCATTCTTACTCGCAGCACTTCTACTGCCTTGTAAGACGAACGGCCGACGGAGCCTTAGCGAAAAGTATTGTATTAGGGAGTTATTAAGAGATAATAATACCTAATCACTTACTTGCTACCTTACTGTTTCTTGACCCCTATTATCTGCTTGTTGGGCTAGTTTACTCACACACTCCACTCGAAATCCTTGGGCTTACGTGTTGGACCCGAGGGTTGAAGGCACAAACCTCAACAGATATGTAATTGAATAAAATTACAAAATTAAAAGCGAACACAATCAAATATTAAGGAATTATGTCTATAATTTTCTCTAAACATAAAAGTTATTTAACCATCATTAAAAGACATGAAGGGGTTGGGGTACAAGTATTTTTTTAATAGTGGAGAGGTGTGGGTGATATTACATTAAATCTGGGTCAAAGATAAATTGCATAACAATAAACTCTATCTATTAGAGTGAGGGTAGAAGAGGTAAAGAGGACAACTGGGCTCCAGTTAACCTGAATTTTTGCTCCTAGGTACATACGCCTTGATTAAATTACCCTAATTTAAATAATTTAAAAATACTACCATCCCCGTGCATCGCACGGGTACTATACTAGTGTTGTTTAAAAATTAAAAGCAAGTTGATTCTTGTTTTACAAAGTAGTCAAGCTGGCTCGTGCCTTGCAAGTGAAATTTTATATCTGAGAATTAAGATCTATTTTTTATTTAAGATTATCTTGAAAAAATTGTGTGATTTTCAATCCAAAATTAATCAAAATTGTGATTTTTTTATGTTATAACGTAAGAAATTTATTTAAGTATTGAGTTTTTGTCATATTAATCCTCTACTTCTAAATATGTTGTACGGAGTATTACAAAACAAATACTATGTATAGGGCCCTTTTATGAAAGCTCGACTCAGGCCCGAGTTTATGTAGGATCGGCACTGAGCGTATTCATTCTATTGGACATATATAGACCATTTTGCTTTTATACGTTTGTATTTTATAAAGGCTAAATGAAGTACTCCCTATTTTTCATTCTACATTTTCGAAATTTTTCTCTCTTAAATTTAACAGACATATAAATACATATTCCTTTCTTCATTTTAGCAAGATCAGTGGATCAAAAAACTTTTTAAATTTTAATACTGTTTTGTTTTGTGCTGGATCCAGGATTTAAGGTCAAGGAGACAACTTTTTTCCCACTAGTGTAGGGCTCCACTATTTTTTTATTAAAAAAATCCATTTATATGTACACGATATTTAAACCTATTACAACCTAAGTTTACACAAAGTGCATTTCATAACTATTCAGGGATAAAAATTTCGCTACGGAGCGAGAGACTCTTCTCTCTACATCTTCGTTTCTCCCTAGGGCTCGGCCGCTAGGGTTGGTACTTCTGATCTCGGTATCCCACCGAGGATCGAGAATAGGTAGCAGCGACGGGGGGGGGGGGGGGGGGGGGGGGAGACTCAGGCAAAGCGAAAGCTTTAACATTAGGGCTTGGTTCGAGAAGTAGGTCGCGGTAGCCGATTTGTTCGAGGAAGGTTACTGCATAGAGGACATTGTCAATTCATATAAGAAGGTGTCAATGGAGGATCAGGAAAGCGAGCTTAATTTCGATGAGGAGGCAGAGGAGGCAGACGAGGAGGAGATGGAACCGGCGGGCTTTCCGGTGGTTGGGGTCGTCATCACCGACCGTAAGATCAAGTTACCTGGGTGCCAAGAGCTGATGACTTCAATCTGGAAACCAGGAAAAGGTATATCTATCAAAGAGATCAGCGAGCGAAGGTATTTGCTAAACTTTAATCATGTTTTGGATATGAACCGTGTGATTGCGAATGGCCCTTGGCTTTTTGAGCGTGATTTAATTCTGTTGGAAGTGGTTCAGCCAGATGATATACCTGAATTGGTGAATTTATTTGAGGCTAGTTTTTGGGTACAGGTTCATAATGCCCCTATAAAATATAGAAATTTGAGATCTGCCAGGAAAATTGGTAATTTTTTAGGCTCTTTCATTAAGTTTGAGATGAGCCAGATGGATTGAAAGCAGAGTTCTTACTTGTGTATGAGGGTGTGTCTGGATGTGCGTCAACCTTTGAAGAAAGGTACCAATTTGACACAAGATGGGGTGAAGCATTGGGTGGATTTTAAATACGAAAATCTTCCTAGCTTTTGTTTTATCTGTGGTATAATCGGACATTCTGATAAATTCTGTCCATTGAAGTATGAAGAGGGCTTTGTAGCTGAAAAAACCTATGGGGTGGGACTTAGAACAGAAGGAAGGGTGAAGAATAGCCCAACAGGAGACAACAAATGGTTATCTGATAGAGCTTCTAGCTCAAATAGATATGGAGTGCAGCGGAAGGCTGATCTTGGGGGAGAGGTTTCGGCTGAGTCCAAGACTAGCAGGCCAGCACAGAACGACAAAGAGGACAAGGATGAGACTCCTGGAGATACCAAGCGCAGAAGGATATGGGATAATCAGTCCAAAGAGGACACCATTGGTGAAGGAATGGCTCTGGATGGGCCAAAAAATGGGGAGGAGGCGGGTCAAGTCTCTTAGACCCACCGTGTTTTCATATGATGGTGTTGGTGAAGAAATCAAGTGATGATGTTATTTTTATTGTCTGTTTTGTTTACTTTTATTTCGGATGCTATGTTCTGGTTTTCTTTTATGTTCTCAATTCTTGTAAGACTTTTGCATTAGGTTTGGGGGATGGAAAGTCTGCGATAACCGTCATTGGCTTTAAATTGCCCAATTTCGGTCTAGCGAGTTATACTGCTTTTTTACAGGTGGTTAACTCTCAGTCTCGGCCACGGGCGGATGGTTATATGTGGTTCTTTTCTATTTATATGGTATGGTTTCAATTTAGTTTGAGACTTGTCAGATTTGAGTTTGAAATTTAAGACTAGTTAAAGTGTTTTGATATTATCATTCCATTTTCATGTGTATTTTTTCCCACATCTAAATTATTATTTCATCTTTAAAGGATATAATTCGCTAGTTAATTTTCACTCTTAAATAATTTTGGTGTATAAAGTTTTCACTTTCTTAAAATCAAACATAGTATGAAGTAGAGATTTACTAACAAAGATGTATTTTATTCTAAATCTGTATAGTTTTTCTTTTACCCGGTAGACAAACCACCTCACGGATGGGTAAATGCTGGGGAACATTTACCATATTTTATTAAAAAGTAAACTTAAACAAGTTGATCTTTTTAGTTTTGTTCACTCCTCTTTGTTTAGAAAAGTGGATACTTTTACGAATAATTCCTGCTTCAAACTGTCATTGTCCAAAGTGAGTCATTCATTTGATCTATAATTTGTGTTAAACAAAATATAATATAAGAAAAGTTTTCTGAAAATGAGCTTGTGTGTGATATAATAGATGGGAGAAATTGTTGGGATTTAAAATACCAGCTAAACAGTGTTCCCTCCAAGTGTTTAGAGTTTTCTATTGGTGAGTTTTTTGGTGGGAATAGTGTTTCAGATCAAAACTGGCAACTTAAGCCGAGTCATCGATTTAAATAATTAAAAAAAACATAGAATCAAAAAGTGTTACGGACGATGCAACAATGCTCTTTGTACCCATCTTAATACACACTCCATACCCACTATATATACTCTAAAAAAAATTACCCCACTTCACTTCTTTTACCCCTTCCCCATCGTTCCTTTCTCTCCCCCTCCCTGCTTCTACGCCGTTTCCCTCCTCTCCCCCCTTCCTCTAAGCGATTTTCCTCCTCTTTCTCCCATGCCTTCTTCTACGCCCGCCTTCATGAAGTGTTTTACAGAAAAGAATCTCCATCCTCTTTCGTCCTTTAATCTATTTATAATTCATCTTTTTCTTTTCTTTCTCACAAAAACCTACCTTCTCTATTTTTCACTGACGGCAGATGAACCTTCGAGCAAAGGGTCAATCCTTTCAGCCACACCGACGCCCTCCAGTAATCCATCCTCCTAAATTTAACTCATCAGGTTATAATCTTTCTCCTTTTTTTGTAAATGCTCATTTAGGTTTTGATTGTGTTTTTAATTATTGAAATTGTATGTTTTTATTTATAATATATGGACTATTGTTGGACTATTTTGCTTCGTTGTTGGAATGTATGGCGTTCACCATAAACTTAATGTTCAAGATGTCATTTTTTTTTCTACCCACAATGTGTTTGATAAATTGTTGCAATGAAATGTTGTTATTTTCATGATTCTTGAACATCTACCTATAGTATCTTGATTTGTTTTTCCTGCTATTATGCATTTCAGGGAAGAACTCTATTTGGTTTTTCTTGTTTTCTATTTGTGGACATTGAAATCAAACAAAGGAATGTGGTGTTTTTGTGTTTACGAGAAATTTGTGTTTGCTTTGTTGTTTTGTTAAGAAGTTCATTTAAAATAGTAGGACTTTTTAATTAGGCATGAAAATTTTGTCAAAATATCTTGTACTAATAATAGACTTAAGTCTCCTATGTAGTGGTAAGTTTTGAACATTCCGTATGTTCAGTTTCTTGGGCATTAATGAAAACATGTTTGTTTTAACCGAAAGTGTTATTTTAACAGGAGAAAATGCAACTGCATGTATTAACCTATTACATAGCTAGTATAGTTTATTAGTATGTTTTGGAATATAGTTCCTTAGGAGGAAGTTGTTCACATTTCTTTTGTTCCCTACGTTTATTAAATTTTTCATCATACAATTCGCCTTCCTGTTCATTCCAACTTCATGCTCACAGCCTTCCCGTTCATTCCAACTTAGGTCATATGGATCATTTATTAATTTTGCACTTCGAAATTTAACCTATCGTGTTTAGTAGTATTGTTCGTCCTGCCTTCTCTCCCGGTAGGTTCATCCTTTAATTTGGTAAGTTTTAGTGTTCAGTTTGTACATTTGTTGATTACCTCTTGGTTTTCATTTAAGTTTATCCCTTATAATTTGTGAAACTAAGCTCATAGTTCGTGGTTTACAGATTGAACCAAGCAGCACCTATGGTTTCAAAGTGCGCCATAACAGTTATGATCTAAGCTAGCCACAACTTCAAAAACTTCATAAGACCAGTTGGCTTAGCAAAAAGGAAAATACAGAAAACAAAAAAAAAGATGACTTTATATTTGAATATGATATTTAAGATCAGTTGGCTTATTTTTCAGCCTGTTCAATTCCACTCTGTTTTGAAGTACTTTTTATCCAAAAGTTTATATTATTTTGCGTTTGATGGCCAAACAAGTACTTAGTTTGCCCTGATCTTGAATTTTAAACTGCAGCTAGGTGGTAGGATGGTCACTCAAAAGCTTGAAGGATGAACAACATGGCTAGTACTAACAACCAACCAAAAAAGGTGGATCTAAATGCTGACTTCAAGTCAACTAGCTCTGGAATTTCTCTTGTTGAAGAAATCATTGTTGGTTGCTTCATCTCGAGTCTCAACTTACGGAGCTGGATAAGAGGATGAATGCAATGTTGTGATATTAATTTTTTGTAATTAGTTATATTGCGAAATTAATGTTTTTGACAACGATAGTGTAATTGGGGTTGTTTGTGCTTTCAAAGTTTATCTTTTGTAGTATGAAAATGACTTTGAATGCTGCCAAAGGAATTGAATTTGTGCTATTAATCAGGGTGTAATTAGTGTAATGCTTTTTTAGCTTGAGAGAGTTATTCGCATAAAAATAGGATGTCTATGATGCTCACAAACAATATAATTATTAATCTTAGGTAAGCTTGCCTCGCACAAACAATATAAACAATCACACAGACAATTATTTCCTATGCATGGACAATAAACACACACGTTCAAACCACACACAAACTATATAAACGAACACACGGACAATTACTTTCTATGGACAAACAAAATAAATAGACACATAAACAATATAAACAAACACACAAACAATAATATTTTATGCACAAACAAAATAAATGATTACACAGACAATGTTTTATCCGCGTACAAACAATATGAATGAAAATTTGCAGTTTCTCACAATTTATTTGGCATAGAAAATAAATACAAGACACCTTATATATGGTATAAAGACAATTTCTCTCTATTTATTTTAGCTTGTTAAAGCAACTATTGCCCGTGATCAGACAATTCATATCTGATTCACACACAATTCCACTTACCATATTAACCCGCTTTAGTGGCAATTGTCTGTGACCAATATAAACGAACACAAAACGCAGACATTATTTTTCTATAGACATTTTAGATGAAACTATGAAATACATATCCATTAATAATGTAACATTTGGGAAGTACATTCTCGGACACTTTCAATGTTACATTCTAAATATATTTACATACTGAATATAAGAACAATGGAACATACTTTACAAAAAGACTACAAGAACTAACATAATAGAAGTAAACAAGATATATAATTCTTAATGTCTTCGCCCAGTCACCTCTTCCTGACCAAACTGCAAGGAATCATTCAGATGAAGAGAAATTGCTTGCCCCATTGAGGGAAAGAAGTTGGCTCCTGCTAAACATAATATAAAGAAAATCAAAAAATTAATAAAAGTATTTAAATATATTGCAACTATTATAAAAGGCTCTTTGTGTCAATTGTGAGAAGTTTTGTGATTTACCGTTCACCTAGAAATCTAGAACACCAACATTATGTACTAATAAATTTGCACACCAAAAGTAAGTTTTTGTATTATTTTAATAAATATTCCTAAAAGTAGCAAATGAGATTACACCAAGCATGTCTAAACTTAGTTTTATGAGTAGCCCAACTTACCAAATTAATCAAATAAGGTTCTAATCCTATCTTTCAAAATTGAAATTATTATACAACCAACATAACAAATATAGCACTTTTAAACTCAATGTTAGAAGCTAAAACAATTGGTTTATAAAGTGTATAGATTTCTCCCATATATTTTTAAGAATACATCACATACTTTTGGATCACTTTAGATATGTATGCTTTGTTTAGTTGAGGAGGAAAATAGAGAATAAGCAGATCAAGGTAGAAAGTAGGAAAAATTAAAATGGGAGAATTGCACTAATAAATTGGGAATTGTATGATGAATAATTTAATAAACGTAGGGAACCAAAAGAAATGTGAACAACTTCCTCCTCAGGAAATCTATTCCAAAACATAGTAATAAACTATACTAGCTATGTAATAGGTCAATACACCACATTCCTTTGTTTGATTTCAATGTCCACAAATAGAAAACAAGAAAAACCAAATAGAGTTCTTCCCTGAAATGCATAATAGCAGGAAAAACAAATCAAGATACTATAGGTAGATGTTCAAGAATCATGAAAATAACAACATTTCATTGCAACAATTTATCAAACACATTGTGGGTAGAAAAAAAAATGACATCTTGAACATTAAGTTTATGGTGAACGCCATACATTCCAACAACGAAGCAAAATAGTCCAACAATAGTCCATATATTATAAATAAAAACATACAATTTCAATAATAAAAAACACAATCAAAACCTAAATGAGCATTTACAAAAAAAGGAGGAAGATTATAACCTGATGAGTTAAATTTAGGAGGATGGATTACTGGAGGGCGTCGGTGTGGCTGAAAGGATTGACCCTTTGCTCGAAGGTTCATCTGCCGTCAGTGAAAAATAGAGAAGGTAGGTTTTTGTGAGAAAGAAAAGAAAAAGATGAATTATAAATAGATTAAAGGACGAAAGAGGATGGAGATTCTTTTCTGTAAAACACTTCATGAAGGAGGGCGTAAAAGAAGGCATGGGAGAAAGAGGAAAATCGCGTAGAGGAAGGGGGAGAGGAGGGAAACGGCGTAGAAGCAGGGAGGGGGAGAGAAAGGAACGATGGGGAAGGGGTAAAAGAAGTGGAGTGGGGTAATTCTTTTTAGAGTATATATATAGTGGGTATGGGGTGTGTATTAAAATGGGTACAAAGAGCATTGTTGCGGACGATGTGCTTGCTTGAAATTGGGATAATGGGTGAAATTATTGTTTATTTTAAAACCACGGCTTTAACAGTGTTCCCTCCATGTTTAAACCTTTTTCTGTTGGTCGAATTTGAGGTGTAAACAGTGATTGAGATTTAATGTCCAAAAATCAGGAATCATGTTGTGCAATCCCCACAATCCTTAGCATTAGAGATGGCAATTTCGGCCGACCTGTTGGATACCCGCACCGAACCTATTTGGTCAAACTGGGGAAAACCGGTTTGACTGGGGAATGGGTACGGGGCGGGGAATATCCGAATTTTTTAAATGGTTAATGGTGCGGTTATGGTTCTATACTAATCCGCGCCGTTATCCGCCCCGAAACCGCCCCGAAACCGCCCCGTTCACTAATGGTGCGGGTACCCACACCGTTACCCGATCTGTAACATTATTGATGAATTATTACTTTTTATATATAAGAATAATAAGTATATATGCTAAATTGTGTATACTAAATAGTACAATATATATCATATAAATAATGCTAAAAAGTATACTACTTTTTTAGGCCTAAAACTAAATATATGCCTAAACCTGTTTTTGGAATTTGGATTCTAGGATGATTACTACTTTTTTATTATGTCACAAGAGATATTAGGTGCATGTCATACTAATGAATTTAAGCCAGTCTGCTTGATTGCTTAAATATTTACTTTTGTATGTTTTAGGGTGTTTTGAATATATAAATAACAAGTAGGATTAGAAATGGGTTATTTGTTTTAAAAAAATGATTATTTGGTATCATTTGGGGAAACGGTTACCCGTGGATAAACCGATTCCCCGTTGGGGCGGGTACGGTTCAAATAAAAATTACCCGAACGGGTAATGGGGCGGTTTTGGGGCAAACATTTATCCAACGGGGCGGTTTCGGTTTTATGTGTACCCGTCCCCGATCCGCCCCATTGACATCACTACTTAGCATCGTCCATATAACACAAGAAACAGAAGCAAAGCTCCATCAAAATGGTTGGTATATATGTGGTCTTTGATATGTGAGATAGACCAAAGCAAAACAACATTGGTGATTAAAGTCATGGTCATAAGGGTGTGTCGTCCTATCGGGAGCATGCTCATCATGTTTTCCCATAATCTCTAGTGGTAGTATTTCATGATGCGGAGGTCTTTAGTTTTTACCTTTAATTATTTTAATTTGGGAAAATGGAAACTAATAATCCAACCTTTTAGCGGTCTTCTTACAATAATCCAACCTTTTGGTTATTCATGAATAATCCAACCTTTGCACCTCATCTTCATTCACTGGTCCCTGATCGGTTGATGACCTGCTATTCCAAGCTATTTTCTTATCTTTGCAAATCATTATACCATAAATCTCATCTTTCACAAAGATAATATTTTGCAAAGATAAGAAAATAACTTGGAATAGTAGGTCATTAACCGACCAGGGACCAATGAATGAAGATGAGGTGCAAAGGTTGGATGATTCATGAATTATCAAAAGGTGGGATTACTGAAAGAAGACCGCTAAAAGGTTGGATTATTAGTTTCCATTTTCCCCTTTAATTTTTGGTCTTTAATCTCATATTATTATTCATTGTTTTTGGAATGTTAGGACTCGAAGATCCATGCCCACATTCCAAATCAGTTCATCACCAAATTTACAAGCATATTCAAGGAAGGCCGTGTTTTAGCTGTCAAATATGTCATGGTTGAGGGAAATGATATGTTCTTCAAAACCAACAGTGCCTATAGACTATATTTTTTTTAACAAGAGTCAAGTGTTTGAAATATGAGACATTTCATTCCCATTAAAGACAATATTATCACTGGTGTCATTTGCTACATTGCAAGCGCTGGACACTATTGATAATAAATCAGGAATTGGTTCAATTCGCATTGGGTGTTTTATTTCAAGTTAAATGTTCCATTGTAATATTTTTTCAGTAGCGTATAATACTGAAGTGCATGTATAATTGGTCAAGTCGTTCATGACAAAGACCCTAAAACGATCCTGAAGAACGAAAGACCAAGGAAGTTGAATGATCGAACTGATTATGGGAGACACAGAGTTAGTAAAAATATTTTCAAAAGATACTACTTTATCATTGCGCCTGAGATCTATTTCTATTTCCAAACTTATTGTTTTTGTACGGGGGATTTCATAGTGTGCACTTTATGGAGACTGATGGTAGAGATGTTATTGACATATAAACTAACCACATCTGGTCCCATTGTAATGCTGTTACAATGTTGCAGAGCTAGAAAATACCAAGGTTTTATCTAATGATGTTAAATTATTTGTTTCATGATTTTTTGAATACTAATAAACTACAACTTTTGTTAGGTCACGTACATGTGTCTAACATGTTTAACCCTACAAAAGTTATTTTGAACAGAGCTGATGTAATACCCAAGATTAATTTAAAAGGATTAATAGTACTACTCATACTAACTGAGGTGAATCTCCTTTTAAGATAGCTCATCACTCAAGAACTCCAAAGTTAAGCGTGCTTGCACGGGAGTAGTCTTGGAATGGGTGACCCCATGAGAAGTTTCTCAGAGCGCGCATGAGTGAGGACAAAGTGCGTGGTAAAGGCTTGTGATGGTTTGTGGGGACAGTACTAGAGGTCTGGAGTAACTACATCGGGTCATGTGGGGCCGAGGTGTTACAGCTGAGGAAGAGTTTATTGAGTTCGAATCTAGGTATACAGTTTTTCAAGCACTCCATAAGGATTAACTTTCCCGAAACCAAGAATTATATTCCTCTAACGGTT